GCTGTGATTCATCTCCAATCAAACTCCATTCTTCCCCCTTTTGCAGGTAACGGTCGCCTCTTCTTTCGCACGACAAGTTCGGTAGAGACATAAAAATGACGGAGATGAATAGTGCAACGCCAATATTGGCGTCCCACTGTTCACCCGCAACTAAATAGCAGAAATTTTACCGTTTGGCTGGAGCTGTCATGGGACGTCATTTAAGTGTTTGGAGTTCGGTTGGATATGCTCTTATGATAGTTCATTGAGGTCTTACAACGTCCCCCAACTTTCAATTTATTGCTATGAAAATGTTAAGCATAAATGTATAATATAATGCACCCAAAGAATGCTTTATTCAATTCATTGGCCTACTTTAGGAAATCAACCCGACATATAATATAATTTTAATATATTTTAATTGGGCTAAAAAATTAGTTTTCAAACTTTGTTTGATAGTTATTAAAATAGATTATTGAGACATATAATATAACGAATGCATGTTATACTATGGGGATAATTTATTAGAGATTGCATATCAATATTTGTAACATGCCAAGATTTAAACCAAATTCTAGGAAAAAAGAAAACAGAAGGATGTGCATATCTCTATTACGGGGATCATGATACAAACTGAGTTTATCACTAGTAATTGCCAATAATATTAATGCATGTCATCGCTATAAGATTGGTAGAAGTCACTGTTCAACATCATAACTGATATTCATATTAGGCTTCTTGGTTAGTGGTTTCCTCTTCTCAAGGGAGAATGAATTAATATATTACCAAAGTCTTTTTGAAGTCAACCCCAATGCCTTGAGACTCTTCTAACTTTTACCATGAAATCTTTTCAATACAATTTATATGTACCTTCTCTAATTATTGGGAAGGGCATCATTTGCAACCTGTGAATCATTCTAATGAGTCATTTCCCCATGATTTTGTTTCTTTTTCAAGTTTTTCATGTAAACAAATTATTTACGATTGCAATCTTCTTTCATTTGTTTGTGCTCTAGATTTTGGTACAATGCTAATATGCTCTAGATTTTGGTACCATTTTAAGACTTCTAACATGCAACAACATTATAATTTATTTTTCATCTATTAAAAAAATTATATAAACCATCTTTCTTAAAATTGAGATAACCTTCTAACTTTTTTTTTGATAAATATCCATATTATAAAATAAAAGCAAGGTTAGGGTTCTGAAAAAAAAAAAAAAAGATATTGAGAGGAGTGTGGGTTTCAACTTACGTATTAAGGGGATTTAAATTCATAAAATCTAACACCTAAATTTTAATATTTACTAATATAATACATTAATATTTAAATCACATTAAGACATATGTATGAAAAATGTATTTTACTTTAGAAAAGTTAACGTGAGACATATTTTTAATGTGATTTAGAAAGTAGAGTGTTATGTAAGTAAATATAAATATTCATGTATTAGATATATAAATACATAAGAATTTTATGATATGTATGCAAATGCTTTAAATAATTATTTTTTTGGTAATGATGAGTGTTTACATATAAGTTTGATATATGTATTTGAAAATTATTATGTTTTAGATATTAAGAGTTCATTTAACATCACTTTTTTATTTTGATTTTTCATAATATTATTATTTTATTATTTTTTATTTATTTTTTGAAAAAATAGGGGCATACATGCCTAATTTTATTCAAAAAAATGAAAGGTTACAAAGCAAATACAAATGAATTGTAAGAAAAAACAAAGAAAAAGTTACAATATCAAAGAAGGAAAAATAAAAGAAACCTAAAAACTCCTTATAGCATGAGACATCTACAAACATGATTCTTAAAAAAAGAACCAACAAAAACACAACTCTGTAAAAGAGTCAGTAATGATAAAAAATAGGAACAAAAGATGAGATAAATTCCATCCACCTGCAGATGAAAGCAATACAAGCTCAGCAGCAAAATATCTATCCAATATAGCCAACCGAACCAACAACCTCAACTGGCAAAAACAAGAGTCACTACAACAATAGTCCAATCGAAAACTGGAAGAAATTGTCGAGACAGCTCTAACATCCAAAAAAGCCAACAAAGCAACTTCAAAGCGATCAACCTGCAACCTAACCAAACTCCAGATAACCACGTCAACTGCACAAAAGAACACCCAACTGTACCAATAGCAAGGAAAAAACCCATAACCCCTGAAAATAAAGACTCAGAAATATGGGAAAACATTCCGTTGAATCAAAGAACCCAAAAATAATTTTGGTTGCTAGACCCAGCCATCTAGAAAATTTGTTTGTCAGATCAGCCATCCAAAATAAGAAACAATACGAAGGTGCCCAATCATCATAGTCCAAAAACACCAATAATAATCCATAATTAGACAATATATTGGATAATCTTATGATAATAAGCCCATTTACTAGCTTTTGCTTGCACCGCAGAGCTAATGAGCCTACAAATATAATCCTAATTACGAAAAATGTTCTCCATCTTCCGACAATTTCTTTCTTTCCAAACAAAATAAAGATTGCAACAAGAATAAAGAAGATAGAGATGTTTAGCTTCCACAATCAAATTAGAATTCTAGATAAAATAAAAAACTTGCAAAAGATTTGGTCTAAGCATAAAGAATTTAACTTAGGCACAAAGATAGAGATAATGTTAAAAGAAAAGTCACATTCAAAAAATAAATGATTATGACTTTCCTGCCCCATATTGCAAAGAATACAGGAACTAGGCACATTAATATTTCTCCTAATTAAAAGATTAGCATTTTTCAAACCATTAAGCATAGCCATCCAAGAAAAACAAGAAAACCTAAGAGCATATCTCTTATGCCACACAAATTTAAACCAATCCACCTCATTAAAATGATTAAAGAACATAGAATAAAAATTCTTAAAAGCAGGAAAGGTCACCTTATCCCAAACAATATAAGGAGTGACTTGATTATGAATCAGAATACTCGAAATAACCAGAGCAATGTCTTCTGGAATATATACAGAAATATTTCAGCTATCATTAATAATCCATTCACAAACAGTCCTTGCATTTAGAGAATGAGCCTCAAAACCCATATGAATTTCTTGAAGAGCTTTCTCATTAAGCCAAGGATCCCATAAGAGAGGTAACGAACTATTGGCAGCCAAATTAAAAGCTATCTTGCTTTTAATATCTCTTGCAATAACACAAAGATCTTTCCAAAATTTCGAATCCTTTTGAGAGCAAGGCTTCCAACAAGAAATATATTTGAATTTAGCCCAAACCGCAAGAGGCCCCGTATTATTGACAATACACCAAATAATACAACAATCGTAAGCAAAGCATAAAGCATTAAGATTACGAATCCCTAAATCACCAAACTTTTTTGGTTTACAAACATCCTTCAAAGCAATTATATGAATCTTCTTAATATTAACTTCACCCTACAATAAAAAATTAGAGCAAGCTCTTTTGAATATTTTGAAACATGTTTTAGGTAAAGAAAGCCCTCTAATCCATTACAAAATAATATTAGAGAATGTGAAATTAATATATTGAACCCTCACAGCAAAAATTTTAGCTTTCCAACCATCAAGAAGATCAATAATTTTATTCATTAACAGTTGAAAATCAAAAATTAAAAGTCTTTTACAAGAAATTTGCAAACCTAAATATTTCAAAGTGTCCTGAGAAATAGGGATTCCCAAAAGCTGACCAATATTATGAGCAATTAAACACCCTTTAGAAAAGATAGTAGAACTTTTCTCTGGATTAACTTTCAGCCCAGAAATCTTATGGAAATAATCAAGAATCATCTTTAACTTTTAAGCATTCAAAATAGAGATTTTCCCGAAATTTAGAACATCATCCACATATAATAAATGTGATATAGAATGTTCACCAAGTCTTTTATTTTATTTTTGATATTAAATGAAAACATGATGTCATCTTAAATAAGTGTTGTTTTTCTTTTTATTTAATGTTGCATAAGGCAATGATGAACGGTGGTGAACGATATTAGTAGGGGGTGATTTTATTTTAAAAAATAAATACTCCTAATAAATATCTAAATAGTATTTTGAGTCTATAAAAAAGAACTAAATTTGTTTAAAAACTAAAAAAATAAATTAAATTCATTTTTTTAATAAAAATAAAACAAAAATGATTTCTAGGGCTTCAAATGAACTGAGTATTTTACGAGGTACTTGTGGCTTGGTTTGATTACAGCTCTTTCATGATTATTTGTTAAAATAACCAAACAAGTTTGAATACTATTTAAATCACTCAGATTGTGAATGAATAAATTTGAACAACTATGTGTTATCTTTGTTTATATTTATGAACAATATCAATTAAAACTTGTAAATAAGCTCAATGAGAAGCTTGATACGAAGCTCAATTAATATTTAACACAGAGCATGTGAATAAACTTGTTAATAATCTATTCTTATAAATCTTTATTTGGTATATTCTCATATATTTTTAGTATTATTATAATAAATGATTATTATTTTCTTAAAATTAGTTTCATTTTTTTAATGTTGTACCCTTAAAGTGGAATGCATTTATTCATAAAGAAGAGATATTTGTTCAAGTTTGTTGGATTGTTTATTTAAAATGTTAATCAACAATCTTGTTTATAAGAAGAATTGTTTTCTGAGCTTATCTGTTTTTGATTGAGCTCATTTGATATATCGAAAATACTAGCTAGATATTTTTGTGAACGGGCTATTTTGATAGTTGGTAAATTCTCGTTAGATACATTCGAGAACAATTTCAAGATAATTATTTGTTAATATGCTTAATAAAATTTATTTGTTAAGTTAATGAGTATCTTAAAAAAGGCTTAATACTAGTTTGAGATTGATCTTTTATTTGAAGTTCGAAATAAATACTTAAATAGAATATGAAATAAATATAAATCAAATATGAAATCTACCACTTTAATATAAAAGCTAAAACCAAGATCAAGCTGAACTTAATAAGCTGAAAATAAAGTAGCTTAAATATCAACAATCTCCTCTGGCTCCATTCGTCTGCAGCCCGACAAACCCTCTGTTTTTTTCCCCGGTAGTAGGGTTTTCGCTGCTTTCTTTTGGTTTGCTACGCTTCCGGTCTGCTAGCCTGCCACGCTCCAGCAAAACACATATCTTCCCACTTTCCTCTTCCTCAATCCCTCACCCATTGGCAGCTGCCAGCTTGTTCAACTGCGGCCTAGTCTCTCTCTGCGCTACGACTTCTATTCCCGATAAAGATCTGTTTTTTTGTTGTTTGCTTGCTCGACCTGAAGAAACGGAGTAGATGAAGTCGGTGGTGGGAATGGTGGTTTCGAACAAGATGCAGAAATCTGTGGTGGTTGCTGTGGATCGGCTCTTCCACCACAAGCTTTACAATCGTTACGTGAAGCGGACTAGCAAGTTCATGGCTCACGACGAGCACAACGAGTGCAGCATCGGTGACCGGGTAATTAATTGCATTTGCTAACGTACCGATTGTTTTTTCACTGTTTTTTTAGTATTTTTTTTTCCTGTATGATACCTGCCAATTATCTGCCCTTCTTTTTTCAGTGGTTTTTATCTGAGGCTACTCATTTCCAGCGTCTCGTTTTTTTTTAATCTTCCATTCAACTGATGAACTGCAGGAACTTATCTTACAATTTCTGCACTAGATCAATTCTGCTAATTGCTGAGGGCTCATGATAATGCTCCCCCCTTGGAACTATATGGGTTGTTGGTATTTTCTTCTCATTTAGGGGCTGTTTGGCTGCAAGTAGGATATTTTTAGTAATTCTGTAAATATGGATTTACTAAATCCTAAGCATGTTAAATCCTAAAAATTGTTGGGCATTATAGATGTTAAATTCTACTAAATGGTGTGAAACCATTTGGCAATGCAATTTAGTATTTAAGTCGATTAATTCATATAGTTTTATGCATAATAAATAATATTGAAACAATAACATGTAGTAAAACTATATCTATTCATGAAATCAAAATAATACTGCACATTAGCAAGAATATCATATCCAATAAGATGAAAAATATAATTAAATATTAATTTATTATTTCATTGTTAAGAAAGGTAGAGGTAGATCTAAAAAGACTTGGTTAGAAAATATTATAAATGATATTTCTTTACTAGATTTAAACGAGAATTCGACTTTTAATAGGATAGAATGGAGAAAAAGGATTCATGTAGCCGACCCCACCTACTGGGGCAAAGGCTTGTTGTTGTTGTTGTCAAATATAGCGTTTAATCAAGTTGATTGGAGTCGTTGACTCATTTCTTGTGATTAAAATAATGTGTTAGTAGTAGATAATCCATGGAAATTTTTTTCTTAATAAAATAAAATCTTACACACACTTCTTACAAGTTGGTGGCGATTGAATGCCTTATTGCATCACTTAGAATTCTTTACCTTATTGCATCACTTAGAATTCTTTCCCCAACTATTATATGCATGTTAGGGACTTCATCATTGATTTGTACCTCACCAAAATTACTTTCATGCTTCATTTAAACTTGACATATTTTGAAATACATATCGTGTCTGTGATAGCATCCAATGAAATTGTGCATCACTGTACAAGCAAGCACAATATCTATATGAACTCTTAAAGAAAATTACCGCATGTAAGTTAATACTTTGAATCTCTCTTTTGAAATATCAAATACTCTTTTTACTATATTACATAATTGTGCGTGTTGATGATTGTACAATTCCTGCTCGATTGAGTGCCTGTAAGATGTTTCTCTATAATAATCTCTAAAATAATATTAGAATCCTTTGAGTTATGCCATTAACTTATCCTTGTTAGCATAGCCATAATCAACCAATTAATAATTAGCAAATGACACTCTAAAGTCTCCTTCCACTACCCATCACCATACACTCAGATCAGCTATAAATCCCTCGCAGCAAGATGTGGCATTGACAAATTTGAGATCAAATGAGATTGCTGCCATAACATTTTATGAAGTAAATTCTTTCTGTTGCAGTATCAATTATGCATTCATCTGTTAATGATAGTAGGGATATTGATATTATACATGGCTCCAATCACATTTTTGGAAGTAGGGATAAAATTGTGGGTTTGATCATAAGAATGGATGATAGTTTGTTTTCATGATTGTCAGTTTAATGAACTCTTAAGCTAAAAAAAACTATTGCTCGTAGTATTAGAATCAATGTTTCAAAAGAATGCTGAGAAAACTCATAATTTTTTGTAAGTATGTGCATGTGCAGCTCTTAAATTGAATATACCTAGCTGTTCATTTGCTATCATATCGTGACTTACTAATAAGTCTTCCAATTATTGGAATGCTTCTATTGGAAGCCTAAAATAGTTATATGACCACAATTTATGCCTCAAAAGTAGATCGGCTACATGCTGCTGGCCAATTTATGATTTGTTTAATATAAACCGTCATATTATTGGATCCTCATACAACAAATTATTTTACTCCATAATAAATGAAATTAATTTACTTATACTATCGTGAACCTCTATATGTTTGTCAATCATATTGCAAATTTCATTAAGAATTGTACCCAGAGATAATTACACATCACTACAAAAGACAATAAAATGTGATTTATTAGAAGGATAAATGCTTTGATAATTAACAAAAGGGTTTATAGTTGAATGTCCATTAAGAACATATTGCAATGATAATTCCAAAAGAAAAGTAGGTTACAATACAAACTTAATAAGATTTATAAATATGCAACTAAAGCTAACGGAAATCTAACAAATCTAAGCAAACATTAGGGCTAAATGTTGAAGACAACTACATATATATCATGATCATGGCAACAAAGCTGGAGAAGCATAAAATCTTGACTCAGTTGCACCCCTAGGTAAGACTGCTAGGTAAGCTTGATCTTTTTGGATGCTATTCACTAGGCTAATGAGCTAGGGTTTTGGTTGATATACAAAACATATATGATTTCTAATGCTATATTTGAGCCTTTTTTTTTCCTTCTTTTAAAATCTTTTTTTTTTGTGTTATTTGAACTCCGACAGCATTAGACTACAAATATCCTCGCTTATTAGTTTTGACATTCAAGATAAAACACTTATCTTTGTTAGCAGTAGAGATGTGTTTGGAAGGATGGTTCTGTATATACTATATTGTTGTTAAGATAAGCTGAGATATTACAACATGCATTCAATATGCATAAGAGTACTTTTTTTTTTGCTTGCCCTTGCAATCTGAAGAGTGTTGTTGCTTGCCCTCATGATGTGTTTTGTGGTGGTGTTTTTTTTGTCTTCTCTTGTTTTTTGTGGTAATGTGGTTATTGTTGCTATGCTTGTTTCTTTTTAGTTGCAATGAGAGGTTGCTTCCATCGCCAAGACCATATTACACAGGTCTTCATCAAAGCTTTAGCAATGTATGCTACTTTTTCACCTTTGCTTGATTGATAGAGTGCAGTTGTATGCAGTCATCCTTGGCCTATTTTCTTCCTTTGAAGGGTTATTTTATGATCCTTTATAATCCATAACAATGAGGTTAAAGTGCTTCTGGACCTTGTTGGATGAGGTTAATGTTGTTAAAGATTACCCATTCACTCACCTAAGTATTCAGGTGATGTGAAGTGATGCCAGAACATCTTGCACACCCCATATGCGTACACCATTACTAAGCGTTCCTAGGCAAGTGCCTTGCCCTTAAAACATTCAGTGAGGTGAGCACATTGCCTTGATTTGAAAGATGAATGCTAATGTATACTTCAAATATTGAAGATATTATTTTTTCTAGGGATGATGTAAAAGCATTATAAGAGTTGGCACACAAGCATGCCCACTTTCAAACTAGCGGATCACTTGCCTTTGCACCTTTGGAAATAAGTCTATAAAATGTTGGTTTAAGAACTTATGCTTTAGAATAGTAAATATATAAGATGAAGATGGTGAGTCTAAGTAAACAAGTAAACAAAAAAGAGATGGACTGCAAATTATATGACAAAGGAGTAAGCATGGATAATGACATACAATAGTTAGTAGCAAAATTGATCAGAAGATTAATTTACTAGTTGAGAAGGTGCGTGGAGGATAAGCCAAGATTACTTAGAAGTTGTAGAGGAGAATTCTGAGAGCCTTGCGGTGTGTTTAGAGGAAACTTGTGAGGGCTAGCATGCTATTAAGAGAAATCTATTGAAATTGCGATTAATTGGCAAGGCTGAGATGAATTCAGGAAAGGCCTTGACAAGATTCTAACTTGAGAGAATGCAAACCTGGCTGGAGTTTTCTATTAATTGTATGTCAAGATAATTACCGCCTCATGATTTGTGACCATGATTTCATGTAATAATATTTCTTTCTTTTTAATATAACAAACATTTCCTATCATTAGAAAGTGTTGTCTTAGGATTGAGAATCAATTAAGAATAAGAATCGATTGAGATAGTTCCGTAACTGAATTCTAAATATCATATAGTTCAAATTAGAGATTTCTTAAAGAGAAACTTTGTGAAGTTATAGAGCATGAGAGAGATGATTCAATGAAGCATCATCTTCCTTCTTTGTATCTCCCTTATTTTTATAATGAAATAATAGTTTATTGCTCCAAAAAACAAGAGTCCAAATTACTTGTTCCATTTATTTTTCCTGCTCATTGGATCTTATTTCATGTCTTGTTTGTGGTTTCAAATCACGCTTTTGGTATCATAGTGCTAGCTTTGGAAGAAGCCAATGAAAGTTTATAACGAAAATTGGTCCTAGAATACAATTTTGTCGTTAACGGCAATGAGAAGCCAACAAATGCTCTAGAAAGCAAGATGGTGACTTTGAGCTTTATTTCGGAGGACGACACCAATTTTTCAAGGTTGAAAATAAAATTGATATCACTACACTTGATGGTTCTATTTACATCGAGAAGCTTTATGCATGGGTAGATCAACCTGGAACCTATTTTAGTCCATACAGGTCTTCTTCCAAATTGAAGGTTTATTTACCTAGTTAATATTCACCAAGCAGGCTTTGACAAGGTAGAATGTTTGGGTGTTAGAACATAATCTATTGGCAATTCAAGAAATTGCTCTAAAATATTATAACCCATTTGCCACGAAGAAGGATGGTGGAGGACGTGGTAAGTTGTGACATCGGCAAGATAATATTATGTAATCTTATATGGCATAGTTCAGGAGATAAGCCTAGAGCATGGTGCCTTGCTAAAAGATGTCTTTGTGTTGACCCACGACAAAGTTGCATTACAACATCTCCAATGAACTTTTTCTCTTCCCTTAAAAAATCTTGGTCAGCTAAACATATTTGCTATAGCCATTCGGAGAAATAGCAAAGGTCGAGGTGGTAAACCCTGTTTTGACAAGAAGGTAGGGGAATTGAAAGTTAAGCAGAATCAAAAGGGTCTTGACAAAGGTAATTCCGTATCGTCTTCTTCTAAAAATACCCTTAATTATGATCATTGCTGGATTTTGGAACATGTAGAGCAAAGTGCTA